CTATGCTCTCATACTGGTTTTTCCTCTGCCAGGGTGTTTGAAAGCAGATTATTCATACCATTTCACCTATATATACCTTACTCTTTTAAGATAAGAACTCAAAAATATAATAATATCAAAGAGAATTAATATTCTTAATATCGTCATATTCTATTTTTTATATGTTTAAAATTTCTCACATTAAAAACATTTATGCAAATCAGAATCCATTTAAAATGTTGCATTGGTTGATCTCTTTAAGTCTCTTATAATTTATAATCTTCATCCCCTTCTTTATTTCTTGTGTTATTTATTGAAGAAACCAAGTCAGGGATGCCTGGTGGCTCAGTCAGTTAAGCGTCTGCCTTCAGCTCAGGTCATGATCCCAGGGTCCTGCGATCGAGCCCTGCATCGAGCCCCGCATCAGGCTCCCTGCTCGGCGGGGAGTCAGCTTCTCTCTCTGCCTGCTGCTCCCCCTGTTCGTGCTCGTGCTCTCTCTCTGTCTCTCTCTGACAAATAAAATAAAATAAAGCAAAAAAGAAACCAAGTCGTTTATTGAGCAGAATTTTCTAGTCTGAACTTGGATGCTGACCTCCTCTTTTTTTAAAAGATTTTATTTATTTATTTGACAGAGCACAAATAGGCAGAGCGGGAGGCAGAGGGAGAGGGAGAAGCAGACTCCCCACTGAGCAGGGAGCCCGACATAGGGCTCGATCCCAGGACTCTGAGATCCTGACCCGAGCCGAAGGCAGCTGCTTAACTGACTGAGCCACCCCTAAAGATAGCCAATTACCTTTACCCATGTTTCTACTAAGGTATTGGTCTTTTCTTATATATTTCTGTTGTTATACCTATCAGCCTTTTTCTGGATGGTTGCTGATTCTTATTCACTTAGGAAGGCCTTTCTTACCGTAAGATTATAAAAATATGTGCCCATTTTTCTGGTGCCTCTCTATGATTTTACAGTTAAATGTGAATATTTGTTCCATGTATGATTTATTTTTGTATAAGGGATACAGTAAGGATCTAGCATTACTTTTCTCTGAATGTCTGACCAGTTTTTCCCAGTGCCATTTATTAAATAATCTTTTCCCCACTAATGTCAAACACCACTTTTTTTTTTTTAGATCTTATTTATTTTTTTGAGAGAGAGACAAAGATAGAGCAGAAGTGGGGAGGAGAGGGAGAAGCAGGCTCCCCGCAGAACAAGGAGCCTGATGTGGGACTCGATCCCAGGACCCCGGGATCATGACCTGAGCCAAAGGCAGACGCTTAACCGACTGAGCCTCCCAGGTGCCTTCAAACACCACTTTTATACTCAGTTCTCTAATCTTGAGTCTATTTCTGAGTTTTCTGTTGTGTTCCACTGATTTGCCAGTTTTTCCTGTTTCATTATCCAGCTTGAATTGCTACAGCTTAATTGTCCTTTAAAATTTTTATTACTGACTTTGGTGAATATATGAATCATACCAGCTTATTCATGTATACTATTATATGTCTAACTATTGCTTAATAATGTGTTGTAATAATTGGTGCTGCCTTTTTTTTGTGTGTGTGACTTTGCTGACTAAGCTCACAAATTTATTCTTCCAGATAGATTTTAGAAATATTTGTGACAGGTCTCCCAAGGTACCCTTTTATATTTTGATTGAGATTTTATTCAGTTTCTAGATGAATTTAGGGGAGAATTGATTTCTTTACAACTTTGAGCCTTCATAGTTAACAACATGGTCATTTCATTTATTCAAATCTTTTGTCTGTCCTTGAATATTTTTTATTAATTTATTCCAAAGTTTTTATTGGTTTTGGCTTCTCTGTCGCTTCAGTAGGATGCCTTTTAAATTTGACCAGATTTTGGGCGCCTGGGTGGCTCAGTCGTTAAGCGTCTGCCTTCGGCTCAGGTCATGATCCCAGGGTCCTGGGATCGAGTCCCACATCGGGCTCCCT